CTGAGGAAGCAGACTGATAAGTCTGTTCAATAAATATCCACGATCTAGTCTTTAAATAAATGAAACATACACACAGTGCTTAAGACCACAAGCATACAAAAGGTTATGTTTGGATCGTTTATTTTATCATATTATGCAGTGCAGCTTGATCACCAATTTTTGCAGTACAAATTCTCCTCATGTAGGATGTGATGGCAATAGGCAAACCAACCTTGACTTTGGACACAAATAAATGAATGAAACCTAACTTTATCTTATCATTATATCTATGTCAAGTGAACTCATCTTTTCAGTGTTAGACAAAATTCCTCAAATTCCTTGGAGACATGTAGTTTATGTTTCTAACTCATCAGGAAGAAAACATATTAACATCTTAAGTAGGTCACATTCCAGGACCTGGTGGAGTGCATTTGATCTGAGGGTTACATGTTGGGGGCCCCTAAACAAAGTCAGAGACATTTTTTAAAAGGACAATTTTTCCAGATGACTTTCAGGCCCTGAATAAGGCTGGGAGGAGAAAAGAAATGTTATTGGGGAGTTATTTGTCAGGAACTAGGAGTTATTTTTTCTTTTGTTAGGGATTTTCTGTTGGTTGGTTGGTGGGTGGGTTTGTGAGCTTTCTGAGGGTTATATATACAGAAGAAAAACAAGTTTTAAATGTGGACTGGAGGGAGTAGAATCCCTGAAAAAATAAGTATACCCAAGAGGAGTCACTAAATACTTCTAGTCTATTAATATAAAGCTATCAGTACAAAAACACAATAGTCAGCCTTGATGTAAAAAATAGTTGTGAAAATCTAGTTGGATCATGGTGGGTTAGTGGTGTTCAGAGTTACATAACCCCCTCAGGAATAAAATCTTAGCCTTAAATGAAATATAATTCATTATTTCCTAAAGGACTTATTCATATTGTTTTTTCCTCATTATTACTCCTACTAGAACTAGGCTCCTCAAAAGAATTTAATTTGGTGAAAAAATAAGCTCCAAAGAATGACACAAAAGCTGATTTCGAACTATAACTTTGACATGAAGTAGAATAAGGAAACTCTTATCTCTTAGAAAACAAGTGTAAAACTATTGTATAATCTTTATATGTCAATTTGACTTTCAGGTATTGTCATATAGACATTTTTCAGATATTCCTGAAAATTCCTGATTTCATATATTCTGTCCCATTGTCAGATATATCATACCAAAGGCTTTGAAAACTAATTTGTGCCTTATTACCATAAAAGGTAAGAAGAAAAATTATTATAACCCTCATTTTGCAAATGAGAAAAGACTATGTTCAGAGATTTGTCCAAGATCATCTCACAAAATCAGAGGTAGAAATTCAGACTCCTGGCACAACCTTCTCTTTGAGTATAACCTGCTACCTTCTGTTGCGTGGGGTTCTTTTATGCTGGTTTGAGAGCCTCCAAACTCACTACCAGGTCATTTAAGATGACCACAAGTTCTTTGATTTATGAATGAAAGTTTATTCATTAAAATATCTTAAAACATTGGCAAACAGTTTATTAAGTCTAAAAATGAAAAAATTTTCTTAAAACAGTAAAATGGTTTGGATCAATAATTAATAAGGATTATAAACAATTACAATTCAATAAATGTCAGTAATCATCACACATAAGGATGCAAGTATACAGTCACAACTGCCCATACACTTTAGCCAGAGCACATCAGGAATGAAGACTTGTGCTACCTAATTCACTGCCATCTACCAGCCTATCTCCCTAGATTTTCACACCTTTAAGCTTGTTTCAGAACGGTGAGCCTCTCTCCCTCTCTTCCTCCATGCCATACAAGAATTAGCGTTGGCACTGGTCTCAAGAAGATCCAGAAAAGAGCTAGTTTGGATAAAGGACTAGCCACTCTCTCCATTCTCTTGGAGGACATTAAGGATTTCAGTCAGTAGACGAGGTTAAACTTCTCCCTCTAGTTGAGCTTTTAGGTACTTGACTTATGTCAGTTGCCAACCAACTATTTCTATCAACATCTTAGGGTTGACTAATTTGCATAAAACAAAAATAGGGCTTGATTCATAAACCTATTTAGGAACTAACTCCATGCCATTGCTTTCTACCATAAACAGCTGCATAATTTGACAATTTATTAATTTTCTTCTCTTTCTTGAAAACACCTTCCCCATTAGCTCTTGTTCCTAAGTATTTTCTTATTTGTTAAATTTATTTCTTACCACTATTAACCCTATTTCTAATTCTGTTCCATAGATCAAACATACTTAATACAACAATCCATTTCTTGGAGTAGGGTTATATCTTAACAATTCTTAAACACATATAATTGCATAAAGCAAACACTAAGATATATTTATCTAGTCCTGAGGCACCATTAAAATACAATCTAGGTGACCAGGGTAAACAAGAGGCTTGCCAGCTCCACATGTTATGGGGTTGTAGCATCTTCTTGCTTTAACCCCTAAGGACCATATTGACCACTAGCTGTCTTATAGGCTGGTTCAAATCTTTGTCTTGTCTCAAGGTCTGGAGTAGTTTCACAGATTTCTCTTCATGTATTTTAATGAACTGTTTGAGTTAGTATGGTTGCTTGTGTTCTCTCAGAAGGCACTAACGGTTTTGATAAGCTCACACTAATATGTTGTGGAATTGTTATAAAGTCCATTTTCCAGAGTTCTACTTGGAGGAATAGCTACCCTTCAGTATCTACCGTGTTTGAGGAGCACCAGATCTGTCTTTTTATAGCCAAATTGTTCACCAAATAGAATTTGTAGCAGACTGGTAGTCTCCCCTTGGATATGTTTTCTGATCTTGTCCGAATATTTATGCTTTGAGTTTTATTTTGACACAAAATTATAGCCCAATTTCCTAAAGTTCAAATTCCCCATGAGGAGTGTGTATCTTCCCCAGATGTTTCTAAACCTTTAATTAAAGTATAGGTTCTATCTTTTAACCTTTATCCGGTGCCTCTGTTGTTATTCTTTTTGATTACTAAAGGTATAGATTCCTTGTTTAACTGCTGTCAGTAATATTACTTGTAAAACTGCTCTTATTGGAATGGAGGAATAAACTGTTTCTTCCTGCTTTCCAACTATTCTGTTTAGTTTAATCTAGCATAGTTTCTTTGCATGGCATCAATTATTTGCCATTTTCGACATACCTGCTTATCTAGAATCCCCTACAGTGGAAAAGTCAGGTTGTTTATCCAGTTATTGTAGCAGCAAAGTCCCTCAATCTGCTGTCTGGCATGACTTGTAATCATACACAATAGTTGCTCTACAATAGAATTTTTATGTTTTCTAATCATGTCTTTGTTTGTCCCTCTATGTTTCTTGGGTCCTCATCTACTGTTATCAATATTTCCACATAGCAGTTTATTGTGGAATTTTCTCATGTTAATAGGTTGAATAGGTCCATAAGTCTTCTGATGTTAAAAAGGTCTGTGAGAGCTATCTCTGATACAGCACCCTCTTGATTAAATTTGTTAAACCACCTTATCCTAAAACTTAGTGGCCAAACTCACTTGTTTTTCTCCTGCTACTGCTCATCCAAATAAGACCTAGTTATATAGACTTTAATTGCCCTCATTTATCTTTAAAGGTAGCTAATCATTTGTGTATGCAGACCTCAGTTAGAATTAGATGCAGCACCTGTCATACTGATTAGCTCTGAAGTCATCTGTGTTAAATGTCATTTTAACCCTTTAGGCTAATATGCCTTAGGACTTTATATGAATTGGTATAGTCTGGTTTCTACTAGTGAGGAGTGCCTCCTACGTGTCATTTTTTCTCAGTTTGCATATACCACATTGTCCAGTGTCATATTTTTATGTCTTTACCTAGTTGTTGCCCATGTCATGAGATGAAAAGGCCATTCTCTAGGAAGGAAGGCCATAGTGTCCATGGGCTTGTCTGAAGGGTAGTTATTATTCCAAATAGAAGTGAGTGTGCTGTATGGCATGGAATTGGTATGATTGGTGAATTTCTTGAACATTTATTTGGTCCCTCTCTGTTTTAATGTGAGGGTCCTTCAGCTATTACATTTTCCCCTTCCATCATATGTAGAGTTAATATGGCACAGTCCACATTTTGTTTAGATTCATTATTGCTCCTGTCTGTCAATACCAAATATTTCTAAGTCAAAGTTGCAGCAGGTCCACTGTAGTAAGCCCATCAACTATTCTTTATAAATTCAGCTATACTCAAGAAGATATACTTCATCCACATCCACTTGTATACCATAATCTCTAGGCCTATGTGATAGGTGCTTGACTTTCCACTAGAGAATAATTTTTGTAGGGCTCTGTCTAGCCTTTCTAGTACTTCTCTCATTTGTTATTTGCTATAATGTGCTATTTACATTTGGGAAACAATATTGCAAAGTAGATGCGATGTGGGTCAGCATTTGCTGGAACAGTCCTGCATTGGAACCTCCCAGTCTCAGCTTTTTCAAAGGTTTTTCCCTGGCAACGGTCATCTGAAAACCTTTCTGTGGTCTAATCATTTCCCTTAGTCTGCATAGCATTCTTTGACACATACTCTCTTATCAGCCCAGTAAGGAGCTATGTCTTTTCAAGTAGAAGTGTCCCAACATTTTCCAGTTAATGCAAATGTATTCACTATAATACTACCCTGAGGGATTTTCCCCTTTTAATTTCCACTCACTGTAAAACAGTGAAATTGGGTCCCAAGATGTTAGTGTTCATCAATTCTTCACTCCGTTGTTAGGTGAGGAGTTTCTTTTTCATATATTGTTTGTTCATGTCATCAGATATCTTAGCAGGAGAATAAGTTCAGGTAAAGGAAGAACCACAACACTAAAGTCAGAGCTTTTTGAATAATAACAAAGAAGAAAAGAGATCAGCCTTTGCTGGAAGTAAACCAAATCTTACTTATAAGTCATTAGTAATGAAAATGTGCAGAACTAGGAAAAAACTCTTACTGTTAATGTCCAGAAAAATCAGAATATATTTGAAATGGAAAAATGATCAGTTTTCACGTGCTGGTAGGAGCAAATTAGGTCTTATCCATTTGCTAAGTCATTGTTTATAACAGAGAGCACATCTTCATATAACTCATCTATGTCTAACATAGCTTCGTCAGAGGGTAGGGCTTCATCTTCTCTTGCGTCAAGTATTGCTTCTAAATCTGAGAGATCACCGAGATCTGGTAGTGAATCTTCGTCAGGAGGAGGTGTATCAACTACTATTGTATCATTTTCTTGTACACAAGCAGCTTCTTGTCCTTGTGAAATCAATTGTAAAAGCACTTCAGCTATTCTTATTAAATACTCCATACATTCAGCAAGTCCACCAAGTAATACAGAGATTGACGCAGGCTCCATGCTTCAGTGCTCTTCTCAATAGATAAAATATTACTAAAAGCTGTAGCAAATGGACTCTTGGTGACAATGGATCCTGTGGGGCTGACAACGGTTCTGTGATTGGTTTAGATGAGAAATGAGGATGTTGATATATAGAACTTTTTGATGATGTTGGTGAACCTTCCACAAAATTTATATATGGAACTCTTGTTTGTACTAGTAGTGAACTGCTATTATAATGACCATCAGACAGATCATCACAGCCAAGAAAAATCAGCAAAGCATATCTAATAATAGAAAAGAAAAATATCAAGATTAGTATCCTTGAGCCTTTATTCATCCTACAGGTTCTGGCTATAGGATACCCCTATCAAGAGTTGCCCAAAAGGTTGAAAAGGTATCTCTAGCTATTATTCCTACTTTTTTGACAGCTTCATGTGGATCTACTACCTCTTTTTCCTTTGAATTTCTCTTGGTCTTTATCTGTTATTACAGGACTTGAGAGCAAATGAAAGTCCCCTATTCTCTGCCTTTTGACAAACTTTGGACAACTTTGGTTGTAAAATTAGTTCCTTGGTCATTTCCTATTACTGCTTATCTTCCATATCTAGCAGCTAGTTCCTACAACTTTGTCTAAAGCCTTGGTTTTACTACAAGGGTACTTCAAAAAGTTTGTGGAAAAATAAAATTAAAATATAATATGAATCTTTCCATGAACTTTTCGAAGTACCCTCATATTTTCATCTGCATGTCTGGTGAGTGTACACTTCTGTAAGGCAATATTACTTGCTTTACAAATCTAGGGATTGGCCCAATATAATCTACCTGCCACATTTATCTGGTTTACCACTCATCACCCCCCCCCCTTTAAAATTAATTTGTTGAAGATAAAAGACATTTTTAGTAATTTGATATATCTCATATTGCCTACTCACTTTTTTTTTTTTTTTTTTTTTTTTTTTTTTTTTTTTGTTTTTT